TTTTTTTTCTATTCAAAACAGTAAGTGTGGCACCTTTCTGAAATCTTTATTAAATGAGCAATTTTTTTATGTAATGTAAAGTTATAGCTCAGTACATTTTTTTTTCACCCGAGATAGTCAAAGTTGGGGAAGAAAATATCAAAAAGTTAAAAATCCAGAAATAGTCCTAATTTTATGATGGTTCCTTAATATATTTTAACTACATTGCATTTGAGTATGGAGAGGCAACTATCAGGAAGTATTTTACATAAAAAATTTACTAAGTATTGCCCGGTTTGTAGTTGCAGTTAAAGAAAACACATGAAAAGGCTCGATTTTATTTAAATTCGAAAAAATGTAAATATTTCAAAAACGGTGACACTTTTACCTGAAAATTTTTTGTTTATCAGGGAGCTCACCCCCCCCACCTACCTTGCCCTAAAGTTTGGCACGTTACTTCTGGGACACTCTGTATATTCATATCACATGTTTAATTGTATTTTTGGGAAAAACAAAGTTCTTTTTCCTTTTGTCAGTAAACTGTTTTTGTTACAAATAGTATAAATAAGCAATGGGAAAAAAGCAAAATTTGTTTTATTTCCAACCTTTTTTTTGGGTTATTGCCGTTTGTGTTATTTTTAATTTTTTTTTTCTGTATTATTATATTGAAACATATAGTAAATATAAAAAGTGTTGCTACTGACTTGATGTATTCATTTCTGCCGCAACTACCTCCCACAGTTTGTCCAGCATGTATCTATTGCGATGCATTGGATCCCTCTGGTGGCAATGCAGATTTGCAAAAAATTACACCAATTAATTGCTCAATATTCATTTATTTTATGATTTTTACTTAAGAATATCCAAACCACTTCAAAACGCATTAAACGGTTACAACGGAATCAGCACCGAGAAAAGCGAAGAAAACAAAATTTGATGAAATCGACGCTATGCTCTTTTGCTCTATCTACAATATATATAAATATATACACGTTTGAAATCGATACTTTCCTCGATGCTTTGCTCTCCGCTTCACTATGTGCTTACCCTTAGTAAGACTATGTTCAAACAGGCACCTAATTGGCAATTAAGAACCTTTTCACCAATTTAAGCCTTAATTGTTACGCAATTTATCATACAAAAATTCAAATGTGTCAGATTCTCTATGCAACTCTGCTAGGTATGGTTTATTTTGACTTGGAGGTATGTTTATTGTACAAAGAGCAATCAGCTGTTTGTTTCTGATCCTATTTTACAGCTGATATTCCATCAGGGATGGAAAATTGAATTATAAAATTGTACCTGAAAACGGAAAATTTTACCTGAAAGTAGATAGATGTACCTAAAAAGTGAATATGTATTTCTATATAAAGAGGATATAGGAGGATAACAATTCTCATCGATACCATGTCAACTTCTGTACTCACACTCACTTTTGTTAATGAATTTTCCATGGGTTGACAGTTGTACTATTGACTGAATTAGTCCATAATGGCCACCACCATTTTTTTCCGCGAATACCAATACGGTAGTTAGCAACAGCATTATCATGTAAGTCAACACCTCCCATATGTTGATTGTGGTCATGTATAAGTCCAGGTTGTTCCACATTAACTTTTTTTTTCTCAGTTTTTGACCAACGTTGTGATACAGTTACAGAATCGACAGATTTGAAGTTTGAAATGACCACATTATCTTGCCAGCGAGTAACGAATAACTTGTTATTTGTCTCGTAACAATAGTCGTATTTGTGCTTTTTGAGTTCTTTCCTAGTTTTAAGTATTTTTTCTGCGCCTCTAAGACGGTTTGCTCTTACAGTTCCAGTTGCTCTGAAACGTTTTTCATTCAATAAACAAAACAAATAATACGAAGCAAAAAAATTATCAAAATAAATTGCATGATTATCTGGATTTAGAACATTTTCCAACAATGATAGTACGACAGCAGCTCCTAAACCTACATTTCTATCATACGGTACAGTGGATCCTCCATATGGTGCTACTGCATATAAATAACCACTGTGCGAACAAAGAGCCTAATACTTAAAACCAACTCGAATTGGTTTGTTACGAATAAACATCTTGCATGAATGTCGACCAAAATACGGTATCATTTGTTCATCTATGGACAAAATGTTTCAAAAACGCCAAATTGCATATATATACGGTTCAACGCATCGATAAGAGGACGAACTTTAGCAAATCTGTCTGTGGTATCAATTTCGTTATTGTCGTTATTGTATAATGCTTGCTTAACTACAGGTATACCAAGTGTTTGCTGTGTACTCCAATAATGTTCAACGTACTGTGTGATAGCCACTTAGTATCAAAAATCCGATGAAACGATAGATCTGCTGTTTAGTAATATCTGTCACGATATTATTCTGATGAGCATATATATTTGTATTCACGACGAGCATTTCCATTATTTCTTCATCGAAAAACTGTAGAAACTGTTCAAACGGTGTATTTCCACCTGAAATAAAAATCAAGTAAGCCAAAAAAAAATATCATGAACTTTACTCAGATTTACTCATAGATGCAACGATTTTTTTTCAGTGGTTGAACAGCTGCTTCACCAGGCGGACCGAATTCAAAATCAACACGTTTGGTTGTTTTCCATTTAGGTATACCAAAATCCTTTTCTGCAGTATGCTTTGTAGTTTTTTTAGAAAGAGATGATCCAGCCTCAGGTGTTTCAGATGAACATGGTGGCGCAGATGCAAAATCTACGACACCTGATTCATGCTCGACTTCTAATTCCCCACATACATCGGTCATAGCTGGTACTTCTGTTATCAACTCATTATCATCAATTAGTTCTTCGTCACTGACTGCATCAACAACTGCTGGTGGAATGTACACAACGCAAGCCATTTTATTCGAAGGAACTTGATCAATTTTCCTTCGTTTAGCAAAACTTGGTGCTTCTTCGTCTTCAACCTCACTGCCTGATGTATCGATGTAGGATTCAATTTCTTTAATGGTTAAAAACCGCCGACGATCCATTGTTCTTCAATGAAAAATTAAGTAACACACCAAAATTCGAACAAAACACACCCTTTTTACCAAAAAAAATACGAAACGGTTCCACGAAATATTTTTCTTTTTATAATTATTTATACGCACAAATAACAATGAACGCGTTTGTGGTACAAAGTGTTATGTCAAACTAATATACACATGCATTTCCGCGCCGAAAATAATGTCATTAAAGCTTTAGAGTGATATGCATCGTTTCAACCAGCGTTGCGTTTTCGCAACATCAATTTTTAAAAGGTGGTTTCCACCAGATAGCGCTAGCTTTACTGGCAGCTGGTACACTATCATTGTTATTTGATGTTTTATTTTTAGGAAACACGAATAAAACGATTAAAAAAGTCAAATTTAGTATGTAAACGGTTTTTAAAAGAAATATAATTTTGCAATACATTTTTTCACCTGCGCTGCCTCTAAATAAGACTACAGGTAAAAAAATCAAAGCATTTTGGTAAAGCTAAAGGTCCAAATTACGATGTAAAATAAAAAGTATGCAAATATCTTCTGAGTTGCGTAAGTTACATTGGATGGAAGTTGCTGTTGCGAAAACGCAACGGCGGTAGAAAATGGGTTAAACAGGCATGTCTGAATCGATTTCCTTCCTCATTCTTAGCAATTTGATGTGCATTTTTATTGTTATGTGTTGCAAAGAGACATTTTAGGAACTAAATAGGTTCTAAAATATCTGTACATAAGCGCACTTATTTTTAACAGTTTCCAGTTTATGTAATATTAATCAAAACAGCGTTTATTTATTTTATGTATTATGTGATTTCTGGAAGCGTCGAATATAAAAAAGGGCTGTGACTGGGTTTATGTAATTTTAAATTGTGTTGATGATTACTAATAATAATAGAAAGGCGCTTACATATCGATGGTCCTCTGCAATAACGACACAACTCAAAATTTCATATATTTCAGTAGAGCCAATTAAAGATTTTTTGTTTCGTAATTTAGCAATGATATGTTTGGAACGTAATTATTCCGGATTATTTGCAGTCATACTGTAAGCTTTCAAATTATGTCTTTTCCTAAATCTGAAATTTTGAATTGTGCCGTTATTGCAGAGGACCATCGACATATGTATGTTAGTGTTTGGCCGAGCTACTCCTCCGATTGTGGCATGCGCTTTGATGTTGTCGCACAAAGGGGAGGGACCTACAGTTTTACGCCGCCTCCTGCCGGGGGCCGACTACTATTACAAAAAACATTTTCTTTTTTTATGTTCGCCGGAACTGGGCTCGAACCCTCAACCTGCGGAATGGTAGTACGCACTTCTAACCACTACACCACAACGATCGCTTAATTAATTTTAATCATTAATCGCCATTAACCATTTATTCGTTAATTTTTAATTATTCATAGACTAACATTTTGTCGACAATACTCACATAAGATAGTCCCAAATTTTCACAAAAGAGAAAAGTGATTTTCTTCAAAACTTTGGAATGCCGTCTTGACTGAACTTACTTATTCGGAGTAGGCTATTCATAAAGTCTGGGTAATGAAATACAAATTTTTCTATTATATGTTCCATATATATTAGGAGACTTTTATTGTTTAATTTATTTTTTGCACATAAACTTGTATCTTGAACTTCTTTTTCCAAAAAGTGAGGATGTCAAAATTTTAATAGATATCGGATGTACGGCAATTTTCTAATAAGATCTCTTAATGTCTTTCATGAAAATTATTCCAAACGAAAACTTAAAATTGATCAAAAAATCTTAACTAAATTTAACTAATTTATATTAGAAGTTTTAAGTTTATCCCACTGTAAGTGTGAAATCAGTTGCTATGTGTTTCCATGATACAAAAAACCACCTGACCATTAAGCATATTAAAAAATTTCATGCTACCATACGCAGTATCTAAAATCCTTCAAATTGTATTATTAATTTTTTGTTTGTTTAAAAACATTTTATTCCTAGAATCGAAATTTTACCAAGCAAAATGTCTTTTGTTTTTAAATAAATGAGGCTAATGCTCAATAAGTTGATAATTGTTGTTCTCATTTGCATACTTCACACCAACTCCAATATTGAACAGTGAAATATATTTTAATTTTACCCAAATAAACAACAATATAGTTTAATGGTCAAGCACATATGGAGGATTCACAAGACGTGTGTTAAAGTCTTAAACTTTTTAAACGTAAAATAACACCTAATACTTCTTTAGGCGGTTTTTAACATAACCAAAATGTTTTTAAACTAGTAGGAAATATATTATTCGCCCTTATTATACCCAACGAATCTTTCAAATCGCTTTTAACCGTTACTTTATATTGAACAAATTTAAGCCTTTCAAGACATTACGACGTCTAACACGAATTGTGAATTCCCTAAATATGCATTAAATTACACATCAAAATTTGTAATTTCAGTGTTCGAATTATATCAGAAACAATCGCAACCGATATAGAAAACTGTAATAATCCTGGCTATTTAGTTACATTGTGAGATAATCAGATGGCATAGACACTAAACATTTTTAAAATATGTTCACTAAAATTTTATTAACCTAAATGTAAAGTTTTTGCGAAGTGTATATCAAATTTAATGTAAAATCTAAATATTTTTAATATAAGATATTAACTATTTTTAAAAGGTAAATGTTAATACAACTGTTTTATATAATTATAATCCCAAATTTATGATACAAAATCCCCTCTACCAAAAAACTTAAATTGGGTAACACCACTTCGATTGAGCAATTGTCAAAAATCTGCCTATTTATCAAAAAGTTGTTTACCAGGGTGTCTTTGAACTAATGATTGGTACTGAATTAAAGAATGCACACACATAAAAGATTGCAGCCTTTTCAATACTCATTCAGTGTTAAACCTTTTTTTGATTTGGCATTGGTGTTCTCAATCTTGCTATGAATATGTTGATGTGTGACTTCATAACTGCTTTGAGTGAATGGAAAATTTAAAAATTATAAACCTCAATCTTCAGCGAGGAATAAGTAATGAAAACTGAATAGAAAACAAGTAAGAGCAGCGCTGTCTTCGGCTATGCCGAAGGCTTCATACCTTTCATGAACATCTGCAAATTTTACTTTGACAGATTACTGCTTTTGAATACATCTGCATACATCGATAGAGGAGTTACATACTTATATAAAAAATCGCATCTAAACAATCAGAGGTATGGAAGATATACTTTATATGACACCAATCTAAGTGATTTTCACCGCTATGTGATCGGTATGTAAACCGGTAACACAATTTATTGGGTTTAGTTTCGTACATAAAGGAGATATATGGCAAAAACTGGTATCTTAACAATCAGTGCTATAGGAGATAAAGCTTATACAGCATAGATTTTGACGATTTTCTCAGTAGACTTTGTATTATTATTTATAAAATATCTTACGAAATTTATCGGTTTTAGCTGTTCAAATAAAGGAGTTTTACAGTAAAATCCCATATCTGAACAATCAGATGTATGGAAGATATATGTTGTAGTCATCCGATCCTTGTTATTTTCACTGTAAGTATTCTGTTAATAATGAGTGAAAATGGTGCGAAATTTCATGTTCCTAGCTGCATAAATGGAGGAGTTATGATAAAAGACCTCATATCTGAACAATCAGTTGTATGGGGGCTGCAGGTTATAGTGACCCGATCTTTGTTATTTTCGCTGTAAGTCTTCTGTTGATAATGAGTGAAAACAGCGCGAAATTTCAT